CAGCACACCCAGCACACCCAACACACGCAGCACACCCAGCACACCCAACACACGCAGCACACACACTCAAATATACAATTCGTACGCATTCTGTATTTAGAGATGCAGGAGCTTCAATCGAATTAAACAGAAATTGAATACAAATATTTGTGGTCCAAATGTTTTCGTTTGGTTTGTCATTCGTTTGGCTTTGATTATTTGATATGTTATTTTTTCGGTGTTCCGCTTTTTGGTAAAACGACAAACGTTACGGAGCGCATCAATACATGCCAATGATTCTAAATGGGCCCGCGTCGAAACACTTCAAACGCAGGCTTTTCCAGTTACTCGCTCTCTCTCTCTGTGTGTGTGCGTGTGTTTGTCTATGATGTTTATCTTTTGAGCCCATTGCCTCAAAAGGTGCACAATTCCATTTTGTCCGTATCTTTTTTATTACGATGATTTTTATTTTCGCTTCATCCTTGTGCCATCATTCTCTTATCTTTTCACTCTGCCGTTCAGCCATAAATTCCTGCCTATTTTTAATTTCGGTATTTTTTTTGTCGTCAGTTGTCTATTGAAAGTGCCTTTAATCGTTTTGTCTACTTTATGAAGTAAAAGAATGCGAAATAACACTTTCAACTTGCCATAATCCCTGGTATTTGTTGAGTTGAACCCTTTTTTTGCCGACGAAACCGAGAGTAGAGAGAAATAAAGAAAGGGGAAAGAAGTGACTAACATCATCAAAGTTTTTCACCGGACCATGTCAAGTGTGTCTATAAAAAAAGTAGCATTCGAGTCCAAGTGAACAGCCATTCAGTCACAACTCTTGTCATTTGGCTGCTGCTGATACCGCATCTTATTTATTTAGACTCGCGATGTCATTGTCTGCTTCTGTGTTACGTGGGCAGAAAGCACTCAATCCATTGTCCACTTCCTTTGATGCGAATTGCGATAAAAGCTGCAAGGCATGAACAAAAAAAAAGTCTGATGAGAAAAATAAAGAAATTATAATGAACGCAAACTCAAATCCGTGCTCAAAAACCGGACAGAAAGAGAAGAAAAACTACCTAAATCCACAGAAAATGAAAACGCACACAAAAATGAATTTGAATTGAAAAATATATTCCGCTAACTTTTCATAATAGCAAAAGTTTGCTAATTTCGTTTTTTGTTTTTTTTTCGCCCACATTTTGTCGGTGTGGGTTTTTTTCTCTCTCTCCCTCTCTCTCATAGTTTGTTTTCATCGCACTGAATACCATGAGCCAGTAACTGTCCATTCTGTTGAATGGACACAAAAACAACTTTTCGCATTCGTATATATTGTATTTAGCACATGAAAAGCACAGTGCTTTTCATTATCCAGCGTTTTATCGCTCTGCTGCAGTGGAAATGTTGTCATTTATTTATTTGTTGCGGTGGTGAATGTATAAACATAGATTTATATCCAGGTTACTCCATAATTGCAGTTTAATTTTAATTTTCTATACGCAACAATAGAGATAGAGATGGGATAGAGAATGCTTTTTTGTGATATTACTGTCCGTGCTTTTTCATTTTTTTTATAAAAGGAGTTGTTATTTATAAATAAATTGTCAGGGAGAAGGTACGAACACAAATTCACGGTGTAAAAGATCGATATTTTCAACGGGAGAATATCAACATTCCTGTCAAATGAATACAGAAGCGATGAAAATGGGTGCCAACTAATTTTTTGTTTAAAAAATGTCAACAAAACTTGACAATTTCCATTAAAAACTGAATTGTTATGCCACAGAACATTTCAACGGTTGTCATTTTAGTTTTTGTATATTCACTAGAAAGGCACGTTCAAAAATTACCATGTTTCTCGGAACGAATGATATTCATCATCCACCAGCCAGCTTGCATAAAAGTAGTTTTTTTTATAACGTTTGAAATACGAAATTCCCATGGAATAACTATGTACTTTTTTTTACTTTTGTGTAATGCATGTGCTGTATATGATGAACAAACCAGCATGCCTGTTTGTAGCGATAAAGTATCATTTTTTTACCGAAATTCCATTCATTTTTCCTGTGTGTATAAAATGTAAAATGGATAAATTACA